CTACAGGAAAAGTCAAACTATTCTGTCCTGTTAAGAATAAAATGAAAAAGTATATTACCTGATCACAGTCACAGATCTGCTCACTAAATTGGGATATCCATGAATTAAAAATTCATGTCACAAGAAAAGAACAAACCAGATGGAGTTAAGTAATGCCATTCATAAAACAGAAAAACAAAGGGGTTTTGTCTTTTTTTTTTCTGATAAGTTTTTGTGACCCTACTACTGACAAGAATAGCCCATATTTTAAGTAATATTTGCTGACAGCAAAGTCCATAGAAAATTTAGTTTCTAAATGGATAAACATTTTTGTTTTTAAGCAATATAAAAAAATTAAATTGTATCTTTCCAAACAAGATAACTTCTCGGATTATATAGTTAAGCAAATATGCAGAATTTTAATTTTGATTTTAAAGTGTGATTACTGTCCAGTTATTAGTCATGCAAAATTTTAAAATGATTTTCTTGATATTCATCAAAGAAAATGATTATTTTCTTCTTGATTTTGACCCCATTTGAACAACTGCTCAGAATTTTTTCCATGGGAGCCATGTTTGTAGCATTTCTAAAAAAAGAATATCAATGAGCCTGGTGAGAAGCAACGGAATTAGTTTTGTGAGGTTGGATTAGTATTTATGTACAATCAATTATGATCCTTATTTTAATATTTTCATCCTAAGATTGTTATGCACCTATCCTTGGAATGGTTTTGATTTAGTTTCTTGTAGTCCCTCTGCCCCCGTCTGTGAAGTGTAGAAGGAAAGAGATCTTTGTTGTTTGCACTTCCTTATACTCCTACTAACTAGCTGTACACATCTGGCTTCCATTGGAGAGCCCCTGACATCGCAGGGAACGGTGATCAAAATTCCACACTCTAGCTTCAAGCTGGGGGCTCGTAGCTACGCAGCATTGAAAGGGAATCTTTTCCTGGCTTCTTTAAAATGAGCATGGTGATGGGATGGTTTAAGGGAAGAACACCTCTCAAATCACATGACCACTGCTGTGCTTTCGTGTGTCCTGCTTTCTTCATAACAGCTTGGCACTACATTCTTTCCTTGTATTGTTAGTGGACCTTTTTTGTATGTATGAATGAGCTGGGAGCTGGGGACATGAATGGTTATACATTATGCATGCATCTTTCACCATTAGAGTGATGTGCCTTCCCTTAATGTATCACAAATTATATTCATATTTAACTTCTGTGTCCTGAGTGATTGAGCTGTTTCTGTTTCTCCCTTTTTGGTGTGAGATGTTATTGATATGTTTTAACATTTACACCTTCAGTTGTTCATGTTACATTAAATGTAAGTTAAAATTTTCTCCCAAAAGAGTTAACTTTTCATGTTGGACTGGAAAAGTCTTCATTTCTGTGTAGCATTTCATGTTATTATAACCTATGGCTTTCAATTGTACCTCCTATAATGAAGAGCTGACTTTAAACCCTGTGCTATTCTTATAATGACCTAAGTGTAAGGTAAGTAATTTATCTGTCTCTAAAGATTGTGGCTGCTTGTTAAAATTTTTCTCAGCTTTTTAAAAAGGCATTTTGCTTTTGCTCCTTACCATTTATTGTGTGTTGTCCTTCTTTTCTTTCTGTTTCGTATCTTAAGATTTATTAATAAGCAATGTGATCTTAAGCAAAAATTCTATTTCACATGTAAACACATTGCCTAAATATATTATTTGATGTCTCGTATCTTGATGAATTAGTGGATACCTGTGTCTTCAGTAAGTCTCCTTTATTTTCTTTTCCTCCATTTACTTTAATAAATACATTGTTCTTACATTGTTCTAGTCTTAATTCCTGTGGAAGGGAGAATCATTCATCTATGCTATAAAACCAGCCAGCTGTTAATTGCAACAAAATAACATTGTTAATTGCAATAAAATAAAATATTTTAATAATAAAATTATAGGTATTATAATATACCTTCCATTTAACCATTCATTTTCTTCCCTTAGAATGTAATCCCATAATCTCAGAGTAATTTTCACATTTGCCTTTTTCCCTGCTTTTTAAACTAGTAACAAAATAAAATGAAATAAAGCTTGATACTCAACTTGATACTCCTTTAAAATTAAATTTTATTATATTATGTTATATAAAAACCTTATTAAGATTTTATTAAAAAAATACTATAAATATGACATATAGCTTAGTCATTCCATACATACATTAACAGTAAATTTTTTAAAATTACTTTCTTTGAGGTTTTTTTTTAGATACTTTCAAAATCACTAAATAAAATCTTATAATCCCCAATTTAAAATATAATTTCTCTCAAATCTGGTTCAACAGCCAATGTAACATAAATGGGAAAAAAATTTCACTACTTTTGGCAATTTGCAAACCTTGATAAAGGGTCCTATTTCAGAGAACTGAATTGGTTTTGTTCTCCAAATGTCTCCTCTAGAGCTGTTTGAAATTTGTGGTTCCAAACTAATGTATAAAAAGGCAATATGGGTTTCTTTATACGTATTATAAACAGTTGTGGGGTTTTGTTAATTTTTAAGCCATTTAGAAAAGCAGGAAAGATGTAGGATGTTTTTGTTTGCTTTGATTTGGTTAGAAAATACCAGGGAGTTCTTTACTGCCATTCCCATTATATACATTATCAGATGTATATAATAGACTTTGTGTAAATTTGTTGGAACATTTTATGAGACAATTTGAACTACTCATCTGAACTGCACTGTTCATTGTAAATTTCTTGTTTCTATCCATACACTAGCTCCACTCTAGATTGGAAGGGCTTAAAGATGAACTCTGGAGGAATAGAGGCTACGACTTAAGAGTAACTATTACTGACCAAAGGAGCTACTTTCCACTCGCAAACATTGCTTTGCGCGATGGGTTTGGCTCCTTCACGTCTTGTTTCACATCCTGTTGAAGACTTTCTTGACTTCCATTTGACTTCTTTGAGCTGTTTTGTCTTTGAACATTTCCTCTTTCTTTTTCTTCTTTCTCCCAGATTTTCTTTCCATGCTTTTAGCGTTCTCTTGTGTTGAGTCACTTTTTCAAATGTAGTATCTCTCTTTACTAAGCTTGTCTATTAATTTGTCTGTTGGTGTGTGTTTCTTTTCTATGTTAGACTGTAGTGGTAGAATTACACTTGTTTTCATTCCATGGTATGCAAATTGCTTATTTACTTTGCATAAAGTTCATTATTTACACTTATCTTCTTGGATATGAATTTTCAATAAGAAATAGTAGAGCTTTCTCCATTTATACATTGTCCCCCTTATGTAAGCCTATGCTTTATTATTTTTATCTTCCACATTTAATTCCTCAGTCTCCCTTTCTGCTTTTTCTTTTCTTTGTTCTCATATTTTCTTCCATGTCTTATTTTAAGTCACTAATTCCTTTCTCATTTGGTCCAGAATTGTTCTTCGATAAGACTTGTAAATAAAAGAATTTATAAATTTCTTTTTCTGGATTAGTGTCATTGTACTATACCAAAAAATACTTAAGCAGTCTGGACCAAAGGAAAATAACTAACATTTTTAATTGTTTGTTCATTTTGCTGTGTGTATGCGCGTGTGCATGGCGCCCGTGTGTGTGTGTGTGTGTGTGTGTGTGTGTGTGTATTTACATGATTTGCTTTGGTTTTTGCTGATTGTTTGCCTTTGTCTTCTCATTTTTATTATTATTTCTTTAAACATTAACAATTTGCTTTTTTCAGGGAAGGACAGCCATAACCTACCCTAAGTTACAACATTCTTTTCATAAACTGTTTCATATATCTTTAGACTGTGTTAAGCTATAGAAAGTTCTTTGTTGTGTATATATCCATCTGGGGCAAGCTGCTGTGGAGTGGGAGGAAGAGGTGTGGGCCTTGAATAAAGTTATATCTGAAATTGAAGCAGTACCATTTAGCATGGCCATTGAATACAGCCATTTGGCAAATTTCAAAAGAAATATGCCACTTTAACCTTCATTTTTCAATGAGAGCATAAAGAACCCCTAATTGACAAATTATATGCACACCTAAACTGGCTAATAAAGGAGTTGAATTTAACTCATTTCCACTAGAAAAATCCTTCATAGCCAGTATTATAAGAAGTTATTACAATCAGTATTACAAAAGTTATTACCATCAAAGGTAAATATTACAGATAAGAATTTTTCTTTTCTCCTTGTTAACACATATATAATAAAAATCATTACGAGAGAATATTCAATTTTAATTTCACTTTGATTTTGTTATTATTAAAGTACAGACATACAAAATATTTTAGATTAAGGATTAATATTCAAAACTGAATATACAGTATTGAATTTCTTTCATGTATAGTCATCCTTCAATAACTGTAATAAGTTCTTATCAAGACCTCCATACATCCAAATCCAAAAGATATTCAATTCTCATGTAATAAAATGGCATATACTACTTACATACAGCCTAAGTACATCCAACCATATACTCTACTCTATATTGTCTCTAGCTTAATAGGCAAGTGCTCTACCATTGAGCCACATCTGTAACCCTCATCTCTATTTTATTACTATTTTATAACCTAATGCAATATGAATGCTATGTAAATAATTGCTGTGTTGTATTCCATGAGGAATAATGACATGGAAATAAAGATCACATGTGCAGTACAGATATAGTTGGTAGTGCTGGTGTTTTGTGTTGGTTTTCTCTCCTCCTTTTTTTCTTTTCCTTTTGATCCACAGTGTGTTGAATCTGCAGATATGAAACCCACAGACATGGAGGGCCACCTGGACTGATCTCAAATACACATAAATTGCTTTGAGTATTATCTTTGTCCAATTTATAATATTGTACCTTAAATATTTTTCTGGAACTCATTCTTTTTTAAGTAAAAATGAATTAAATATATCTGAAAATGTAATAAACTTTTACTAACATGTTGTGATAGCCAAGATAAATAAAACCTTTTCTCCTAATCCTCAGGAGCTTGCCCATTAAGCATACTTATCTTACAGTCCATATTATAAGCCCTAAATTACTGAGTTTGTGCTCTTTCTGCAGGTCCAGTCCAGGTGCAGCAGCAAGGAGAACATTCTCAGAGCCAGTAAGTAGTCACCATTCCAGGTAGGCTACCAACTATGTACACTGTGGCTCAACAGAACAGAGAGCTAAAGAATGATGAAAAAACAAAGATAAGCAATGATGAAAGTTTATATCAAGAATATGAATTTTATAAAATCCACCATCTGAAAATTTTCTTAATATCAATATAAGTCAATGTCTCCCCAAATCTAATTATTTTTGCAAGCTGAATGGAATTTGATACATTTAGCTTAAGGTGAAAGTGAGCTCCTCTGTGACATTAAGGTGAAGAATCTTCCCCTTTAATAGTCTCATTGCACAAATGATTTAATGATTGCACAAATGATTTAATGACAGACTACATAAAAATAACTCTAATGTAAGTTCATGAACGCCAGAGAGGGAGAAGCAAGCTGGGCATACATGATTGTAGCTTCAGCACTTAAGGATGAAGCAGGAAGATCCTAAGCTTTGGGCCAGCCTGTGCTATATCATGAGACCACGTCTCAAAAGTGGATTGGTGTGGGTAGGTAATAAACAATAATTTTGTCAATATGATTTCCAAAAGATTTTACTTTCACAGGCAAAATGTTATAGAACATTGTCCCTGGTCCAAGAATAGAAAATCCTTAAGATCTCTTTTGGTTTGAGCACTACAATGTTAACTTGAAGGTCACTAAACTTTGTATATTCATTTCCTTGTTTTATAAAAATGAAACTGTAAATAGGTTTTAAAAAAAAAAAACTAGTATTCTTTGTCACGTCTCTACCCTCGTCCAGCAAGGATGACGCGACCACTGGAGCTCTTCTCACTGCAGTTTATTCCAGGACGTTATTCACTTTCTCTCTCTCTTCCCCTCTCTCCTTCTCTCCTCGGGCAACCTCTCCCAGCCCTTATGTAGGCATGGGCTGCCAGCCCTGAACTGCCAGGTGGGCACTGCCCATAGGTTCACGCATATGCAGGCAGCTGATAATCATTGCGTGATCATGGTATAGAGGTCAGGCCTTAGCCATCTCAGGAGTTGATTATACATCTCCATCAGGTGTGACACCACGCAGCTCGCTACAGTTCCCCCTTTTGTTTTGTAAAGCCACATGTTGCGGCTTTAATTTACATAGCAAAATTACATATAACAAAACAGTTATCAAGTAAAAATTACAATAACCTATCATAACTAAGGAAAACTATAACTAACTATTCTTAACTCCGTCAAAGACTCCAGAAGAATGCAATATTACCTAAGCAAACAAGAAATCAGCAACTTTTAAACTCTAGAAATGACAGAGACGTCTCGCTGCCTGGACAGTCACCCAAAGGTCCTCTGTACCGTTGGGGCGTCCATCTTCGGCCTACAGGCCCATAGTTTCCAGCAGACATTTTCACAAAGCAGGAAATTTCAAAGACAGCCACTATCTGCTTGTCCTGAAGAATGTCTTGCAGACTCTTTCATGAATCAGGAACCCCAAAAGGTCATCTCACCTTTAGGCAAGTTCAGCAGTCCTCTCTCTGCGGGTTCTCTGTGTTCAGTTTATGCAATAGTCCAGGCAAGAGCAATTTCTTGCCCAAATGGCTATCAAACTCCATAAGGATCCTCTTCGATGCCCATCTTCCTCTTGAAGTAGATTGGTGCTGCCAGGAGCAGAGTGTCTCATAGTCATGAAAAGTCCTAAGTTATTAAGACATTTTAAATGCCATATTCTATAATCTTTGAAAAATATGAAGAATGCCTATCTAAAATATATCTGTGCACATCTAGAAAATCTTAACTAACATGACTACAAACTTGACTATTATGATTATCTATTAACAACCTATATACATTACATTTTAAGTGAACTACACAATCACAATACCTTAATCAAGATGAGAAATGCATATACATATAACAAAATTGACCTTAAATCTCTATCAATAAAGCAAAATCTATACTAATGCAAATTATTCATACCTATATCAGCCACAGGTAAGAGTATAGGTCTGATCTCTGTTAAAAATGAGACATGTACTAGTGTTTGTCCAGGTGTCATCCACTCAAGAGAACACTAGACCTGTCCGGTGCCATTTTACAGAGGTGGGAGCTAGACACCAACCCACATGCAATCAGACTTGCTCTTGAGGCTGATGTATGCTTACCTCAAGTGCAGTGCGCAAGCCTCGCATCCTGTGCTCAAATATAGATAACCATGCTTGAGGGGACTGTCCTGCTTCAATAGCCGGGAAGGCCTGAATGATCATAACTGCATCGCAATGCTGTGAAACCCTTATGTGACAAATGCACCACAGGCATACCAGGGAGGCAAGCACCATTAAGCCTTGTTAGGGCTCCTACTCCCGCCCACTCCTTCAGATGATCCATGGAGTAAACCAGGAAGATAGTTCTTCTGCCAGGCTGGTATCCATGCGTGTGGAATCTGCGGTCACCATCACCACCCGCAACTTTTCCAGTTGTTGTTCGAATTCACCAGACCAATTACCTAAAAGATATCTAGACAGTTCTTTAGACAAATTAGTTGCATGAGTCATATTGAATGCTGGTCACACACAGCCTCGGATGGATAGAAATGTCTGACAGACTAGGGTATAGACTTGCCTCTAATAACATACTCCAGCTGCCATACCCCCGTGGCACATTCATTCTTGTCAGCTGAGTGCACCTTCTCCCTCGTGCACCTCTTAGCAGCCCAGCTGATAGCTTGTTCAGCGGCAAAATCCAGATCTCTACCAAGCCTGTCCCAGGATGACACATTAAGATTGCCAGAGACGGCAAACCAAGGGGCAATTGTGTCACATTCAGTTAAAAACCTCTCCAATGTGCTCTTTAACAGCTCGTTAAGAGCCAGAAAAATCAGGTGTGATGTTGAAGCGCCCATTCTAAAATCCCATTCTTCCTTTTAGTTTCATTTTTAAACTGTCCACTTTGGTCGTGGCTATATTACCCCCACTTTCCCTTCTTACCGGCGAGAGCATAAAACCCGCTTTTTGTCGCGGATCCCCAATCTTTACCTTGAGGATTATTTGGTGCACCCCTGACTGCAGCAAGTTCTGGGCTCCACGGAGAGAGGTTTGGAGGTTCCCCGTACGAGGCCACCACTAGTTGCGTCTCTACCCTCGACCAGCAAGGATGACGCGACCACCGGAGCTCTTCTCACTGCAGTTTATTCCAGGACTTTATTCACTTTCTCTCTCTCCTCTCTCCTTCTCTCCTTGGGCAAACCTCTCCCAGCCCTTAAGTAGGCATGGGTTGCCAACCCCGAACTGCCAGGTGGGCACTGCCCATAGGTTCACGCATATGCAGGCAGCTGATAATCATTGCTGTGATCATAGCATAGGTCAGGCCTTAGCCATCTCAGGAGTTGATTATACATCTCCATAAGGTGTGACACCACGCAGCTTGCTACAATTCTTAAAGTGAAATCCTGTTGAAAATTTTCCCATTAAAGCTTTGAGATCCTCCAGAGAAAATTGCTGCATAATGTTAATTGTTTTATTATTTTTCTGTCTCTTAAAAATTTGATGACATCATTCAATCTTTTTTCCTATTGGTTTTCAGTAGATGTACAGGATGAGCAGAATTAAATAGGTTTGCTAGATGCCCACACTAATGGGAGTTTATACTGTAGTAGAATGTCAGTGTTATTTAGCAATCAAAGCATACTTGGAGGGCTGGAGAGACAGCTCGATGAGAGGGAAAAAGCAAGTCATAGCCATATGCACAGCTATTCCCAGCAATGAGGAATGGAGACTAGAGGATTCTGGAGCTTGCTCAAGTATCCACCCAGGATAACGATGATGGGGAAAAGGCACGCTCCAGGTTCAAGGAAAGCACCTTTCTCAAGGGAGTAAGGTAGAGAATCTATTAAAGCAGGACACCCAGTGTCTACAAATGGCCTTTGCACACACACATATATGTACACATCACCACACACATATGTCCCCAACACATACACAAAGCCATAACTGTTTACTAGTAATATTCACTACGGAAACTTAAGCAGAAGAATTGAGAGTTAGAAATCAACCTAGGGCATAGAATTAGAAAAATGTGGGGCATATTTGAGAACTTCTAATAGGTCAGTGTGTGTATATGTTTATTTTATATGAGTATTCTACTTATTAGAATATTTCTATTTCTGTGTTATGAATCTGTTAACTTCGCTTAAAACCCTTGAGAATTTGTTTGATCATGATGTTTAGATAATACTACAAAAAAATAAATTCAGGGCTGGATTGGATATGGATCAGTGGTAGAATGCTTCTCTATTGTTCATGAGGCCCCAAGTTTAATCTCCAGCACTGCAAAATAAATTAATTAATAAATTTAAACAAGGGGCTGGAGAGTGAAGAGCACTGGCTATTCTTCCAAAGGACAGGTTTAAATCCCAGGACACATGTGGCAGCTCACACTGTCTGTAACTCTAGTTCCAGGGGATCTAACACCTCCTGCAGACAAATCTATACATTAAATGAAAAGAATACTTTAAAAAAATTAAAAACAAAAATTTTAAATAAATTTAAATTAGATCAGATGTGTAGAAATCATATCTTCACAACTTTCCAAAATAAATGACTCTGAGAGAGCCTTTTATAATGAGATATAAAATCTTATACACACTAAGACCTAAGTTTGAAAAATCTATGGGTCAGACATGATAGTTGAATGTTTGCTAAAATTAAGCATAATAGACAAATGAACTTTAAAATTGCACTTTATGATCTATAGTGCATAGTTTCCACCAATTTGTAGTCCTGAAATTATAGGCCACTGAGAGTAATTATGGTGATTAGAAACAAAAAAAATACTTTTTGAGGACAAAGTCCCTTGAACTTTGTCTTCTATCTATCACAGACTACATTTCAGTTACCATCTTACTGTACTAGTGGCTTATAATGAGTTTATATAGACATCATGGTTGCCCAAGTATTCTTTATTATTTTCTTTGGATAAATAGTCGTATAGATGGGCCTTGTGACTCTTCAGGTCCATATGGAGCCCAAGCAAGATCATAACTTCATAGTTTTGT